TTTATTTCACACACCCCCTCCAGAGAGAGCACACACACACGTACACCCTCTCTCTCTCTCTCTCTCTCTCTCTCACACACACACACACACACACACACACACACACACAGAGTGCTAAGAGTGCCTAAATTTAAGAACAGAAATATCTCTCTCCTTTTTGCTCTGTTGTTGGTTAGATTCCCATACATAATTTAGTAAGTCGCAGTACTGCAGCATGCTAGTTGAATGTGTGCTGAATAAAGTTGCTTTTTCTGAGGACTTTATTGTAATCTTGTAGTGACTTCTATAGCATTCAAAGCAGTGGAAGGCTTCATCAGAAGAGCATATGGTTGTATTACTGCATTCCATTTCTGATTTTCTTCATTCATCTTAATAGGGTTTGCACACATCTTTGAACAGTAGTTCAAAATCTCCCTGCTAAAAGAGAGAGAGAGAGAAAGGGTGTTATTGTGTCTTTTGATCACTTGTCGTGCAGATGGAGGCTTTCTATATGACTCTGGTGAAGGAGAGATCAAGGCTATGCTGTTTTGTTGGCTGTTTTGTGTAGAGAGTGAAATACTTTGTTCATTCAGTTCCTGTGTGTTTTATGCCTTAAATTCAATAAATATGTATGTGAAGTGTGTGCTGTTTTTCCCTTTTGAAGTGAATTTCAATGTTGTAGATTTAATTGGGGCTTTTCCCTTATTACCTAGGATGAATTTCTTTGTATCATACAATTTTATTGCATATTTTTCCCCCCTGAGATCCATCTATGTTAATCATATTTTATTTTACCTTTTAACTGTTTAAACAGGCAGTTTTTTTTCTTCTGTGCCTTTAAGCCACCTGAAATGAGTAACAAGCTGAGGGTTTGCTGTCATATCCAATATATTTGGTACTGCCTCATCCTGCATCACATTGTTTTAGGTTCGCAAAAGAGTTCACACTGAAACGTGTCCCTCAGACTGTCGAAGTTGAATTGATGTGATGTTTTCAGTGGATAATCTTTTTTGAGCTCTGAAATCTCAAAAGATCACAGAAAACTTGATTTTTCTTGACACTTTTAAAGTCTTTCTGGTATACAAACAGCTCCCTGAACACTCCCTACATCTGCCATTGGTCGCTCAAACAGATAGCCCCGCTCCAAACTCACATTATTGGATGGGCAAACTCTGTGATAGTGTTTATACTTTTCACTGAAATTAACCTAAGAATGGCTGAGAAAATACTTTAACATTGAAAAAATATTGTGTTGTAACAGTTTACTTTTTTTTATTTACAGGATTCTACGGTAAAAGCTGTATGGATGCATGTCAGCTGAACCCATGTGAAAATCAAGCAAAGTGTCACAGGAAGCCCAGCTCCTCGCATGGATATATTTGTGACTGTGAGGACAATCACTATGGACAGTACTGCCAACACAGGTATACATTAATACACACCACATGTATGCAAAATTACATGAGCACAAATGAACACACACATCACTACTGAATGCTGAAAAAATATATTTTCTTTATTTATATAGTATATATTGTTTTTGTCCTGCTCAGTAGCAATATATAAACATAGTTAAAAGAAGATATATATAAATAAAAAATAAAAAATAGTAAAGTTAGTTTTAATCAGAAATCTAACTGAATTTATTCAGGGTTATGCCTGACAAAAATTCTAATATGGTACAAAAAATAATTTACTTCAAGTTATAGTTTGTTTTTATATAGTTATATATAGTTTGTTTTTATCTTACACAATTTTGCTTTTCAAAAAAAAAAGCATTTTTTGTTATTAGGCTGTTTTTGCTGGGAAACCAGAAAAAAAGTATTTCCGCTTTATGCCTTATCTGTCCTGTAGCCCAGTTACTTTTATTCTGACTATAATCTCTAATAAGTTGACAAGCAAAATGTACCAGTAAGATAATACAGTGAGAGATGGACAAAGACTTTACTGATGCATTCACATTTACGGCTGAATTTGTGTGCATGTGTGAGAGTTTTCTGTCACACTGATCCAGTGTTCAAAGCTTATCCGAAAGACTGGATGCGTATGGCGAATAAGTTTGTGTTCATGTTAATGATGCATTTGTTCTTAGCCGTATGTATGCGTGTGTGCTTAAGGTTTGCTGGCTTTGAACGGATGAAAGTAGACTTAAGTTTACCGACAGACTGTGACTCATGTGACCCTAATTCATCCCCTACCTCAAACTCACACACGCTCAGCCAAATCCTTCACAACAGCGGCAATCTCATCTGCTCTCTTTTATCTGTTGGCTCCATCTCTCTCTCTCTCTGTGTGTGTCACGCTGTCTCGCTCTCCATGTCAGATCTGCCCTAGATGCATAGGTATTTGATCAAATCTAACTGTGTGTGTGTGTGTGTGTTTGTAGGGTCGAGCAGCAATGTCCTCGTGGTTGGTGGGGCAGCCCGACATGTGGACCCTGCCACTGTGAAGCCAGTAAAAGCTTTGACACCGACTGCAATAAGACCACTGGACACTGCCACTGCAAGGTACATGCATATTCTTATACTGTATGTTAAATGAGTAGGACATCCCAAAAAATTTAATAAATAAATAAAATCACAGATTCACATCAGACATGTGCACTACCGTTTAAAAGTTTTGGATTGGGATATCTTATGCTCACCAAGGCTGCATTTATTTGATCAAAAACAGTAATATTGTATTACAATTTAACATTGACAAAGCTGAATTTTCATCAGCCATTACTCCAGTCTTCAGTGTCACATGATCCTTCAGAAATCATTCTAATATTTTGACTTGGTGCTTAAGAACATTTCTTATTTTCAATGTTGAATCTGTGTAACTGATTTGTCTGCTGGTTTTGATACCTAAACCCTCTTAAAGTTCCTGTAACATAAGACAAGACAAGCACAAGTGTACTCTATACAGTCTATACCATAAGAACACAAACATACTGTTTCAGTATAAGGATCAGCAGTTACAGTAAAACTGTCCAACAACCAGCAGCTTCATAAACATGCGGAGCATTATGCTTCATGTTCCTGACCTTTTCAGAGTTTCAGGAGAGTAAAAACAGAGTTTCTCAGGATCAGCCTGTGGTGAATCGACAATGCATTTTTAGCAGTTAGAGCTTTTTAGACGCACATTTTACATTTAATAGGCACATTTACTTTATTTTCAATTTTATTATTAAAAGGAGAAGTTAGTGAGAACAGGAATTGGAGATTGTGTGAATTTCCTGCCAAAGCACCACAGCTTTAAATTGAAATCCTCATTTGTACAACTACAGGTATTTTAGGTTCTGAAGTTGCACAAATTTCTCTTAATAGTAGCATGTTATATCGCACTTTCCTGTATAGGCCTACCATATGCATTTTGCCAGTATGTACAGATTATAATTTATTTGGTTATAGTCAAATTCACACATGTTCTTTTGATTTGGTACTATTTATAGGAGTGAGTGCCCACATGTTCACATAGAATTGTTCATACAGTATAGCTGGTCTGGGAAGTGTTAATTGGTTTGTTTGTGTGTGTGTGTGTGTGTTTAAGTGTAATTAAGAGATTAGAGAAATGTGTTCCTCACCCTGGAGTGCTATAATAAAGCTTTACTCACCCTCACGTTGTACATCAGGCTTTTGATTATCTGTATATTACACTCCAATCCCAAAGGAAAACATGAACACACACAATCTTATCAGGCTTTTGAAATATATGAAGGAATTTTGTTTATTATTCTAGCTATTATGTTATAATCACTATGCTTTGTGATTTTTATCAGTTTGTGTTGAAAATGCATGTGTTAATATGGATGTTTTTGTGTGTATCAGGAGTTTCATTACCGACGGCTGGGCAGTGATGTCTGCTTGCCATGTGATTGCTATCCAGTGGGCTCCTTCTCAAGGTCATGTGACCCCGAGAGCGGCCAGTGCCAGTGCCGACCTGGAGTGATTGGCAGACAGTGTAACATGTGTGACAATCCATTTGCTGAGGTCACACAAACAGGCTGTGAAGGTACAGTAAATACCCCTTCATCCAACCGTTAATCTTTCCATGTTCTCTCCACAATCGTTAATCATTTCCTCACCCGCTTTTCTTAGTAATCTATGATGGCTGTCCGAAGACCATAACATCAGCAATCTGGTGGCCCAGAACAAAGTTCAACCTGCCTGCTGCTGTCCCCTGTCCCAAAGGATCAGTTGGTGAGTGAGTGAGTGTGTAGATTCACATCTGTGTCTTTTATGTGTCTTTTTTGAAGTCCATCTAATGCATTCGTTCATCTCTTTTTCCAAGGAACTGCGATTCGGCACTGTGATGGAGAGAGAGGATGGCTCGACCCTGATCTGTACAACTGCACCTCTCCTCCTTTTGTGGAGCTAAACACAGCCGTGAGAAGCTATACCTCCACATTTACTATCCATTTACTATAATGAGGCCTATTGCATACATTTTTTGCCAAAACTTTTCTGGGTTCCTACACTGAAGATTTTGCATGGATTGATATTAAAATTATGTACAATTGGCTATATTTATTTTCCTGTTAGAGCTCAATAATATAGAATTGGTTAAATAACCAATAAATAATATATTAACCAATGAATAATGCTTTCTATAGTGTATATGTATATATATAATATTATTAAAGTGCCATTTTAAAGTGAATTTTGGCATTTTAACATTAAAAATACATATTCATTTTGATTTGATTGTACATTTATTTAATTTTAGATTAACAACAGTCTTATTAAATATTTTTTTTATTTAATTTTATTTGAGTATGACATGTTGTTACAGCAAAGCTAATGTAAAATGTAAATATAGCAGAAATGAGCTGAATTGAATTGAATATGTCAACACAGGACGAGTGAAACAGGCCTAAGATCCATAACTTTCACACAGTATTGGAGCTGCTTGTCTATATTACATAACCATTTTTTCAATGTGTGTGTGTGTAGCTGGAGGCTTTAGAAAGAAATGAGACAGAACTCAACACCATCATTGAGAAAAAACTGGCCCATCAGCTTCGTGATGTCACAGAGGCAACAACCCGTCTCTATGGCAATGACCTTCAGATAGCCGAGAGGCTGCTGTCTCGCCTCCTGACCTTTGAGAGCCTCCAGTCAGGCTTCGGTTTGACAGCTACTCAGGATGCACATTTCAATGAGGTGTGTATTACCTTAGGGAACTGATGAATTGCTGGAAATTTGACATTCAGATTTGATTGAGCTTGACAAGACTAGTTGATTAACGTCTTGCTTTGGTCTGTCTCTCTCTGCAGAATGTGTTGCGAGGCTGTAGTGTTTTGTTGGGTCCGGGCAGTGCTGCGTTGTGGAGGGGTCAAAGTTCAGGTCTGACTGGAGCGGCGGGATTGGCCGATCTGTTGGAGCAGTACGCCCGCATACTCGCCCAGAACATGAAACAGACCTACCTCAATCCTGTGGCACTCGTCGCCCCAAACATCGGTCAGCATTAATACACAACAAACACATACAGAAGAAATAATTACTTTTATTCAGCAGGGATGCATTCAATTGATTTTTAGATTCTTATTTTTATATAAAACAAATCTGTTTCAAATAAATGCTGTTCTTAATCAAAGAAAATACAGAAGTGTTTCTCGTCCAGCAAATAAGCATCAGCATCTTAGAATGATTTCTGGTGGGTTTTGAGGGAGTGAAAAGAGCAATGTCAGCCTCAAATTAACTTGACCGACCTCTGAAAATTGATTTCAGATAAAATGCTTTTCATTGAAGCGAGTCTTTGAAGCATTTCTGTTGATTTATTTATATTTTGTTCATGAAGGATATTTAAATATTTAAAAAATCTTAGTAAATTTTATTTAATCATTAAATGATTTGTTGATTATGTTTTTATTGTGATGGGCATAATACTTACTAATAATTATATTACTTATAATATATTACTTGTATTTTATATATTTTTGTGTATTTAATTTTTTATGTTTTTTATCAAATAATGGGTGGCATATTAAGTTGCTTCAATCCAGTAAATATTCATTTTGTTTGTGACAAGCATAGCATAGAGAGTGTCTTAGTCAGCTGATGGTGGGAAAAAGTAAATATTGGAAATAACCTGTCATGTGCAGTGTGAAGTGAAGTTGAGAAAGATCAATGTGAGACTAACACCTGCAGTGTGCACCTCCAGCAGGATCAGCAAGAAAAATGGCAGCACTGCAGAGAGCAGATCTATTAAAATAATCCTGTAGTTCACACAATGTGTGTGTTTGTATTTTGCAGTCATGACTCTGGATCGCGTTGACAACCACACACACGTGAGGCGACGATTTCCACGGTATCACAGTACTCTGTTCCGAGGTCAAGTGCTTTGGGACGCTCACACACATGTTGTGCTGCCCCCTACTACACTAGTGTCACAGCGCAACTTCTGTAAGTATCACATGTATACACTCTTTAAACCCATTTACAAGGCTTAAAAGCATTGAGCAATAAATCTGTGTTTAGTTTCAGCTCCATCTCCTGCTGGCCCTGTGAACCTGTTGGCCAATCAGACGTTAGAAGCAACAACAGCGCAGCGTTCTTTGTCACTGCATGAGGCGCCGATCTCCATTGTCATCCTCCTTATTTATCGAAGCCTAGGGGCCGCACTTCCCCCTAAATACCACACAGACCGTCGCGGCGTCATTCTAATATGCTGATTTGGTGCTCAATTATTAATAATGGTTCTTATTATTATCAATTTTTTTAAACAGTTAATACAACTGTTTAATGTTTTCATGGAAACCGTGATACGTTTTTGATCATTTTAATGGGTCTTTGCTGAATATAAATGCCTCTTTCTTTCTTTCTATATCTTCCTTTATGTTCAACATAAAAAGAAACTTATACAGGTTTGGAATGACATGAGGGTGAGGAAATTATGAAAAAAAAATTTTTTGTGAGAACTATCCCTTTAAAGCACCATCGGTTGACCAAACCATTACATTACACTGCTGGTCAAAAGTTTGGAATAATTAAGACTTCATTCTAATATGCTGATTTGGTGCTCAATTATTAATAATGGTTCTTATTATTATCAATTTTTTTAAACAGTTAATACAACTGTTTAATGTTTTCATGGAAACCGTGATACGTTTTTGATCATTTTAATGGGTCTTTGCTGAATATAAATGCCTCTTTCTTTATTTCTTCCTTTCTTTCTTTCTTTCTTTTTAAATATCCCTTACCATGATACATTAATGATAATTCATCTGTCATGGTTTCCAGAAAATATTAAACAGCAAAACCTGTTTTGCACTTAATCAGAATATTAAAATTAATTATGAAGGATCATGAAGACTGCTGTAATGGCTGCTGGAAATTCAGCTTTGTCATCACAGGAATAAATGATATTTTAAAATATATTAAATTAGAAAACAGTTATTTTAAATTGTAAAAATATTTCACAATATTACTGTTTTATATTTGATCAAATAATGCAGCTTTGTTGAGTGTGTTTGACTTCTTACAGAAGAAGAAAATCTTACAGACAGCAGACCTTTGAACGGTAGTCTGTATTCTTCTTGTAAGGAATAAGCAGTAAATGCTCTGAATGTGTGTGTTCAGTGTATCAGCAGGAGGCTGCTGGTCGGTGAGGGACTGTAGTGTGGTCTATAGGAACACGTCACATGTTCGCTGTCAGTGCCACAGACTGGGAACGTTTGGAGTCCTTATGGACAGCTCACAGAGAGAGGTGATGTACATGCGCACACACACACACAGAACAAAGAACGATCAAGGCCACACAACACTGAAAAGCTATTCTTCACAAGAAATATTCATGTTTTTCAAGAATCTAACAGACAACAGGATGTTCCACAGTGACATCTCCTTCAGCACAAGCACCGTTGCTGATATCTTTTCCCTTCTCTCTCTCTTTGTTTGCTAAGCAGCAGTTGGAGGGTGACCTGGAGACCCTCGCCATAGTAACGTACTCCTCGCTCTCAGTTTCCATGGCGGCGTTGTTGCTAACAGTGGTGGTTTTATCCTGCCTGAGGGGACTGAAATCAAACACACGCAGCATTCACTCCAACATGGCTGCCGCTACGCTCCTCTCCCACCTCACATACCTGCTGGGCATCAACCAGACGGAACAACAGGTCAGAGAAGAGAGATGTCTGTGTGTGTCTGAATCTAAATGTGGGTTAGTGAGACAGACAAAGAAAGTTTGGGTGGGCTCGAAGACAAAAACACTGTAAGAGACAAATACAATTGGTGTAGTTTCCTTTGTGCTGAATGTACATTGTTATTTGTAGATTGGAGTCCAAAATATAATAGATAGATACAGCACATTAATTATTTAATAATAAATAAATAAATCTGCATTTAATTGATCAGAAGTAACCTGAAATGACATTTTTAATTTTAAAGTTTTTTTTTTATTTCAAATAAATGCTGTTCTTTTGAACTTTCTATTTATTAAGAATCCTGAAAGAAAATATATCATGATTTACAAAAAAATATTAAGCGGCACAACTATTAATATTCAACACTGATAATAATAATAATAATTGTTTCTTAAGCAGCAAATCAACATATTAGTATGATTTCTGAAGGATCATGTGACGCTGAAGACTGGAGTAATGATGCTGAAAATTCAGCTTTGCCATCAGAAATAGATTTCATTTTTAATTATATTAAAATAGAAAACAGTTATTTTAAATT